AAGCATACTGGGAATGACTGTAGTGAAATAGTTTGTTACAGCCATACTCCTTGACCTTTGACTCCTTGGGTGGGCTGGCGGTTCCCCAGACCTGCTTCAAAGAGCTTCTCCTGGGCAGTAGGAAAGACTGAAGAGCCATGCCAGGTGATTGTTTTCTGTTTGTTTTTCCTTGAAGCTATGAGTGTTCGTCAGGAAATGGCTGGTAGACATTTGGGTGGCTCTCAACCATGAGAGTTCCTCTGAAGAACAGGTTCCCCTAGGAGATGCCTCAAGCATGGAAAAAATATGTTTCAAATTAGGTTTTTTAAAAAACCTCCCACACTAGATCTCTAGAACCTATCAAGGTAGATGAGACAGTTCACTTAGAACCTTGAGTGGGACAGGCCAAGGCCTGAAGTGGGAGGAAGAGGCAGCTCTTGCCTTTCTTTGGTTTTGCACACACTGGGGCCTTCTTCCTGGAATGTCCCATCATACCCACAACTGCCAGCCCCTCACCCATCAGGCACAAATGTCAGGCAGGCACAGATAACTCTTCCCATCCCTTCCTCCCAGTGTGCCCATCTCATTTGGCACCCACAGTTTTTGTAGCAACATTTACTTCAAAGGCATGAGCCTTATTTGAGGCCTCTTTGTGGATGCTCCAGCACCTAGCAAAGAGCTTGTTTTCTGAACAAATGCACGAGGCTTCTTGGAGAGGGGGATTCAGAAGAGAAGGAAAGCCTTCTTCACCCAGGGTAGTAGTAACCACCTGGAGTACTAAGAGGCTTTTGTATCCAGTCTTCAGTCTTTTCTGTAAAATGAGAGTTAAAGAATCAGTTCTTTCCCCCTTGCGATTCTAAAAAAGACTAAGAATTCATTTAGTTAGCAAGTATTAAACTAGTGTTGGGCTAGTCTCAGGAGTCAGGAGATATAGCACCCAGCCTGGGGTCACACCCTCTCCCCTGGATACAAGGGCACAAACAGGTGAAACCCTTTACTGCCCTCCCCAAGCCTCAGCCTCCTCATGTGTAAAATGGGGAAACACCTTCTTCCCAGGATTATAATAAAGATACCAAAGCTAAATAGCTACTGCCATTACCGCGGCTATAACTACCACTATTTTTATTTTTATTTTTTATACACTCTTTGCAACTTACAAATTGCTTTTGTAACCATTAGCTCCTTTAATATATATGTGGGACTGATGCAGCATGTGTTTTAGATGAAGAAACTGAGGTCCTAAAGGAATAAATTTTTTATTCAAAGCCATCCACTGGTGACAAAGACAGGGCTACATACCAGATCCTATAATTCGTGCCCTTTCTACCACACCACCCTATAGATGAATGTACTCCAGATTTAATAAGGTAGATGTGATATGGTGGGTTTAATCAAAAAGACCTATTGCAAGTGAGTGTTAAGATGGTCCAGTAGTGACAGACATGGCCAAGAGAAGATGGAACACAAGCAGGGCGGGCACTGGCACAGCATGTCGGGAGACAGGAACCAGGCCAGAGCTTGCAGAAGTGGGACTGGCCAGAGAGGGACCCGAGCTGCCTGTGCAGAGGAACATGTTACCATTGAGCCCAAAAGCACTCGAGGACAGGATCATGGAACAGGGGCTCCTGAGGCCATGTGTGGAATGGCTAGTGGACCAGATTGAAAGACTAGAGAGGGAACGTTTTCCAGGTGAGGCAAGGGCATGAGGAGGTGCTGTAACAGCGGAGCCAGAGGTAGAGAACCCACTCCTTCCTCTAACTTCTGAAGTACAACACAGGTCCAAGAATCAACCAGAGCTGGGGTTATAGCCCAGGGCTTTCATTTATTTACCTATGTAACCTGAGCAGGTTACCTAACTTCTTTGCACATGTTTCCTCATCTATAAAACAAGAATCAGGCTGGGTGCGGTAGCTCAAGCCTGTAATCCCAGTACTATGGGAGGCTGAGGCAAGAGAATTGCCTGATCCCAGGGCTTCGAGACTCAAAACCAGCCTGGGCAACTAGGTGAGACCTCGTCTCTACAATATATCAAAAAAGTGACTGGCTGTGGTAATGCACACCTCTACTTCCTGCTACTTGGAAGGCTAAGCCCAGCAGATCGATGATGAAGTGGCTGTGAGCATGTCACTGCACTCCTGCCTGGGCAACAGAGTGAGACTCTGACTTTAAAAAAAAAACACGAGAATCAAGTTCCCTGCTCTGCTTCTCATATCGTCATAACGAGGCTAAAATGAAATTATGTCTACAGAAGTTCTAGTTCTTGATACACTGTGAAGCGCTACGGAGTAAGTCGTACATTCTCTGGTCCATAATGAGAGCACACCGGTACCTATGCACACCCCCTGCCCTGCCACATGGGCCCCTCCAGGTCCCTACCTCAGCCTCTACTCTAGCCTGACAGGACCCTCCAGGCTCCCAGCCTTGGTCCTCAGCCACCCTGCCCACCACACACACTGAGGCCCTCCTTCTCCAGTCCTTCCTAGCCACCTCCATTTTTCATTCTGTCGGACTCCATCTGCTGGGCCATTTTTCTCTTCAGATAGTATTAGAAATATCCAGAGTTGTAATTGTTTAATGGTTGGCATTTCGCCTGTTTTGTGGGGGACCCACTTCAAACCCGCCCCAGACTTGTGCCCTGGGTCGGGCAGAATTGACCAGGGACAGCTGTGCAGTGGAGTCTGCCTGGCATTATAAAGAGCTCTCCCAGGTGCATTATTAGAAAAGATGGGGGAAGATGGCCCCAGGCATAATTCAATTCTACATTCTCCATGGTATTTTTTGTACTGTACAACCCAGCAGTATGCAGTTCTCTGTGGGCTGGGAAAGAAAGAAAAGCCAAGAACAGAACCTCAAGTACATGATACCCAGGGAACCCTGTTTCCCTCCAGGCCACCTTGGGGGTTGTCTGGGTTTATCTGCCTCCCCAAATGATGGGTTCATGCTCAGTTTCTTCCCAACCTAGATTCTCAATTACACCAACTTTTAGAAGAGTGTGATCCTTTCACCCCCCTCTCATCCCCACACCAACACATGTCCACACACATAAATTATTCACAAAAGTCTAGCCTTGGCCATTTTAATACCTTCACTTCCCCAAGTGTCCCCACCCCAGCTCTCTGTTTCTGTCTGGCCACCGAAGACGCCCTCCTCAGCCAGGCTTGGACTTCTCCCTCTTCATTCCTAGTATTCAGGTGCCTATAAGGTCTGTGGGTTCCCCTTAAACCCAAGCCTTCTAGAAAACTTGGACCAATTGGTTTAGAGAAAATCTGGGCTCTTGCCAGGGGAGAGGTTGGACTGAGTATTTTTCCAAGCCTCTTTCAGTATTCTCATGGAGCATCTTCTGGGCAGGTGGAAACAGGTAGTCTGATATTCATGATGTTACACAGTTTCTACTGAGGTAAGGACTAGACAGAAAATAGTATTTTAGATAGCAGTGTTGGGGATTGAAGTGAGAAAGATCACAGGCATAGGGCTGAACTCCTAAGCAGTGTCCAAGACCTTCATAACCTCATCCCACCCACCACTACTTATGTTCATTCCTGTCTTTCCTCTTCTGTCATGCTGGCTACCTTTGCCTCTCCAAATCCTACCCAATCTCCATTATCCATTACCAGTCCCACCTCTTCAAAGAGCCTTCTCTGACCTCTGCAGTCGCTTCTTTAAAGCCCAACCACACTTTGTGACATTTAGGATCTTGGTACCACAAGACTGGCAGGCACATCCCTGATATTGTCAACTCTTTCTCAATTAACTAGAATTCCAACCCTGGTCCTCTGATATATATTCCTTTGCTAAGGTCCCTGATACTCTGGTCTGGGGACCAGACCAGACCTGCTGTTCCATCTGCAGACTGACCTTGACATTACATAGTGCTCTGTCTCCTTCCTGCTCCTGACTGCCATGGTTCCATTAATGCAACCCAAATTGATACTCACTTTTTAAAGCAGCCGTGTATGGTTTTAAAAGACAGATTTAGACATGTAGTAGTTATGTGACTTGGACAAGTCTCTATCTGATGCCTCAGTTTCCTGTTCAATACACTGGAGTTGGGAATAATACTTTCCCCTCAGGGTGTTTGTGTGCATCTTGAATAAATGCATTGTTGATGAATTTTCCAGTTATACCTGGCATACAGCATGTTCAGTACCTGGTGTTTCTTCTTGTGGTTCTGCCTCCCACCCCACATTTCTCCCTTCTCACACTCTTATATTTGAGCTTCTGAGTCTGGTTCTCCCATTCCACTCTGAAGTTAAGCACTTGGTTTTCTCACCTTGAACGCATAGCCCTTGATTACATACTTCCTCTTAAAGAGAAAAAGTCGTCTTACTCTAGCAGTGTTGATCCCCCGAGGGACCTAGTACAAATCTATCCCACTCCTCACACTCCCCCCTCCCCTGCCACCAAGGGCCCTGGTTAGCAGAGATGCTAAGCCAGTGGCTTACCACTTCCAAGCCCCAAGCTCTACATTACCTTGGATTGGCTTCTAGAAAATGCATTTGGCTGTATTTCTACTTCCTGATCCAGACAGTAGAACAGGCCTTTGTTTCCCCAAATAGGAAGGAGTCAGAACTCACCCCCCAGATCCCCAAGGGCCTGCCACGGGCTTCTGCCTCTCCCATTTGCATAGGAGGCAGGCCCACGCTGCCCCCGGTGATAAGTAGATAGGTAGCCAGCAAGAGCTAGAGTTCCTCGTGAATTCTCCTTCACCAGTCCCCCACCCCCTTCACCTCCATTCACCATCCACCCGCCTTTCAGTTTCCTTGGCAACGCTGAGTGCTCATCCTGGAAAACTTTATCCGAAATCTGCTCTGGGCAGCTTTCCAAATCCATGCTAACCTGATTAGGTGTCTCTAGGGGCCTTGCCAGCTAATCAGATTAGGCAGCACTAATGGTAGTGAGGACTTTGAGTGGGCGCAGAGCAGTAAAACATATTGTATACTTAGTGATAATTATCCTGCCTTTTGTGTCATTGATTTATCTGCCTCCCTCCCTGTCCCCCCGACTTGTGTGTTTGGCTGTAGCGATCCGGAGGAAGGAGAATGGCTGGTACGATGAAGAACACCCTCTGGTCTTCCTCTTCTTGGGATCATCTGGAATAGGTAATTGGGAGCAGATCAGCCAGTGGGGAAGGAGAGCTGGGGAGACCAGTCTCAGCCTGACATCTCCAGCTGTTGTGGGTCAGGGTCACACAACCCACCTCTAGTTCAACTCCCACCTCCAAAAACAACTGTGTCCAAATTACAGAGCCTCCCAAAAAAAGAACCTCTTTTACCATCTGTCACGTTATGTAGAGATGGAATTGTACCCCTCGATCTGGAAACTTTGGTGCAAGAATTAAATCACCTAGAGAACGAGGCCCTTCCAGGTCCCATTAGCCCTGATCCAGCCACTCCACATTCCCAGAAGCTCCTCATGGGGAACAGTTGAACCACCTCCTCTGCCCAGCACACTCAACATATTTAGCACAGCCTCACTTTAGGAAGCTAAAGAAGCCTTGGCCAGGGCATGGTGTCTCAAGCCTGTGGTCCCAGCAATTTGGGGGGGGCCAAGGCAAGAGGATTGCCTGAGCCCGCGGGTTCAAGACCAGCCTAGGCAACATGGTGAGACCTTGTCTCTACTATAAGTCAAAAAAATTAGCCAGGCGTGGTAGTGTGTGCCTATAGTTTCGGCTACTTGGAAGGACTGAGGCGGAAGGATCTCCTGAGCCCAGCAGGTCGATGCTGGGGTGGCTGTGAGCATGCCACTGCACTCCAGCCTGGGCGATGGAGTGAGACTCCAACTCAAAAAAAGAAGGCTTTGGTGACCCACACCGTGTCAGGTGCATAGCAAAATTAGTTATAGTAAGATAGGTTGAGTATTTCTCTAGCCAGTTGAACTGGATTTTCTGAGGCATTCTCATGCCCTCACTCTCTGTTCTCATACTCACAGACCCCCCACCACCACTACCTCTGACCACGGTCTTCATAGGGAACTTCATGGTTTAGTTGCTTCCTCTTCCTCTCCCAGCATCTTCTTGAGCCCCTCCCTCAGATGAGGGCCCCAAAAGGTTACCACTCTCTGGCCATGATGCTACAGAACTTGACTTCTATACTAGACTGTGACTTCCAAAAATTTTGCCATGATACCAAATGACCCTTCAGAGCTACCATTCAGGTATCATCTTTTTTTTTTTTTTAGTTGGGGTCTCACCCTATTACCCAGGCTGGAGTGCCATGAAACATTCATGGCTCACTACAGGCTCAGTCTCGATTCTCCCGCCTTGGCCTCCCAAAGTGCTGGTATTACAGGTGTGAGCCACTGCTCCTGGCCTGTCATTCCTTCTTTATGTTCCAAAGAAGGGCTGTGAAGCCAAGGAGAGATGCTCTTTCTTCCCTCCCAGCTTCTATCTGGCTTATGGTTTTAGGGCCTGGCTGAATGGCAAGACCATGGCTGTTGAGAGGGATACAAGATAGTGAGCCAGGAGGTCAAGGCACTGCTAGGAGAGGTGAGGCACTGCTAGGCTCTAAAAGATAGGTTGGCTCTGGATTCTAAGAGTCAGCCTCCCACTCTTAGGATGCTGCTACAGGGAAAAGGCCTCAGTCTCCACCCACAGAAAAATCAAGATGTAGTACAGACTTCAATTCTAGTCTCAGCATCACCATTAATCCTAGGTGACTCTGGGAGAGTCACTGACTCTCTCTGAGCCTCAACATTCCTATCTGGAAATGTCGTCTTTCCAGGGCCTGTGCATTTCTAGTATTTCTTCATTCCAGTAGATAGTCATCTGGTCCTGGGCTGTAGGAAAAAACAAGTAGGAATAAGAGTCCTAACCCAACTCCTCTCTCTTCTTTCTTACTAGGAAAAACAGAACTGGCCAAGCAGACAGCCAAATATATGCACAAAGATGCCAAAAAGGTAAAGGCTGGGATCTAGGCCTGATCTGCAACCCATGGAGACCTCATTCCTCCTACTATCCCAGAAAAATCTGAGACTCCCTAAATCCGGCAATAGACATTCAAAAAGATGGGCTCTGACCTGGGAAGCAAGCCTCAGTTGTGGCCCCAACTTGGCCACCAAGTGCTCCACAGATTTGAGCAGGTTATCCCACTTCTTTGTGCCTCAGTTTCTTCATCTATGAAATAGGAATAATAATCCTTGCTCTGCCTGACTCTTGGGAGAATCAAGTGAGATGTATCTACACATTTTGAAGCTGTGCCAGATGTTGTGCTGGATGCTGCTAATACAGCATTTATTAAGATGTTCTCCCTCCCCCTGAGAAGCTCAGGCTGGAGAGAAAAACTGCTTTAAAAACATCCTATTACTATCCAGTACAGGCAAACTGTGCTGGAAAGAGTTTTGGGGCTGCAGGAGAAAATAAGTAGGAGTAAGAGGTTGCTTTATTGCTTCTCTCCATCCTGCATGGGCTTTTAAACAGGATTTCATGTGCCTTAGTGTGGTATGCTTATAGCTCCCTCTTCCCCCAAGGCTCGGAGCTCTGGATTCTCCATAGGAGAGGACATTCCCATCCTCTGTTTGTTTTCTTGTTTTGTTTTGTTTTGAGTTGGAGTCTTACTCTGTTACCCAGGCTGGAGTACAGTGGCACAATCACAGCTCACCACAGCCTTGACCTGGACTCAGGCAATCCTTCCACTTCAGCCTCCCAAGTAGCTGGGACTACAGGCACATGCCACCGTGGCTAGCTAATTATTTTTTTCTTTTTTTTATGAGACAAGATCTGGTATGTTGTCCAGGCTGGTCTCCAACTCCTCGGCTCAAGTAATCCTCCTGCCTTGGCCTCCCAAAGTGCTGAGATTACAGGTATTAGCCATTACGCCCAGCTTCCCATCTCCTGTTTGTTCACATTCAGGCTTTTCAAGGCTTGCTCAGTTTGATTTTCTAGGCTGGCAGGAAATGCTTCCATGTAGAGAGAGTAATCCTTGGGGAAAATGTGAAACATTTCAACAAAAGCCAGACTCCTACTAGCCTTCCCAGCATCGAGGCTAAGTCCCCCAGCCCATCACTGGAGGTTGTCCAAAACCCCACATGCTTCTGCCTCTGCCAGCCAAGTGGCCCCAGTAGCAGAGAGTCCTGGACTCCTGTTCAGCTCCTAGTTATCTGCCCCTTGCCACCATCCTGAGAGTTAGTAGCCATCGAAACAAGGTAGCTCCACTGTGTCCTCCTGAGCCCCCTTCTGCCTAATAGCTGAATGAAAACTCTAAAACCTCCCTGCTCTACCAGCAGTTGTGTTCTGCCTCCACCAAACCCAGAGCAGGCCCACTTGATAGGCAGGCAGGAAGCAGCGCATGGCATGCTAATATGCTCCAACAGAAATAGCATTTTTAAGTCAATTCATCAGGTTGGCAGCGATTGAAACAATTAGCACTCTGGAAAGGGCCATAAACTAGCAGGACTATTAGGGAAGATGCAGTTACAGGCAGGAACCACCTGATTAGGGATGAAGAATTCTGAGTGGTTTAATTTTAATACTGTCAGAAAGGTTAATATTTAATTACAAATTATAATCTCCTTATCCAAGCCGTCTTCATATGTCTTCATACACATACTTTCCTTAGAAGGAAGGTATCTGCTGACTTGCTAGTGTAGAAAGAGAAGGGGCTTGAAAACTGATAATGCAAGTAATTTTTTAGTTGGCATATCTGAATGGGAGATAGATTTATACCAGGGCAGGGTGTCTCGAAGGCATGATGATGGCGTCTTCAGTACATGCCTCACCTGAAGAAGGAAGGAACGCTGTCAACCCTTGGAGACAGTGGGCTGTGATGGACAGAGCTCTGGAGCCAGCCATTCCTTGGCTCAAGTTCCAGTTCTTCTGTTTTCTACTGGCCCTAAGCAGGTTGTCCCTTGAAGTTTCATCTCTCTTGCCTCAAGGTGAAGCTGTCCAGTCTTGTATCTGAGGTTATCATGGGCAACATGATATCATGTGAGTCACCTCTGGCTCAGGACCTAGCACTCAGTGAGTGCCTACTCCCTTGACGTGTATGTATGTATCACTTCATACTTTCCACAGCAGTACCTCATTTACTCTTACTTGATCCTATGTGGAAGATAACATAGAAGCTAAACCAGACCTACTTTTCAGATGAGAAAACTGAGCTTCTACAACATTAAGAAGCTTGTTCAAGGCCACCTGTTTGGGGAAGATGTAAAACCAGAATCCAGTCTCTCAACTCCTCACTCAGTATCATCGTTCTCAGCTACTCTAGGAGGCTAGGTTGTAGATTTGCCAGTTTGTCCCTGTTTCTCACAGGGGGATGAGAAACAGAAGAAGCCCAATAAAACCACCCATGTATTATTTTAAGTCATAGATGCCGCTTCTATAAAACTCCTACCTGTACCAAGCCCTGCTGGCCAACTTATTATAGAATCTATGTTTAGCATATACATTTTCTGGCCACGTGACAGGCATGTTTGTCCAGGGAATCCGGGACTTTCAGTTGTATAACCAGTATACCTGACACCTCCAGGACCCAATAAGTGATGTGTGCATATCATGTACACCTTCTGTGTAAAATAGGCTCTTACCAAATGGGATCTCCCTTTCATTTGCCTCCCAAGATGGCTGGCAAAATGATATGAGCACTGGCCTAGGAGTCTGGTGACTCGAATTCTATTTCTGGCTCTCTGACCTTAGTTTTCTTATTTGTAAAGAGACACTGATACCACCAGACCTTGTTGCCTCACAAGGCATTGCTTGTACATGTATATAATTTCTTTATCAGATCTGTGAGCTTATTTTTTTTTTCTCTCGTTAGCCTGTGTACTATTTTGCCCAAGTTGAACAACTTTGTTAACTTTCATTACTAGAATTAGTAATCCTTGGGAAAGAACCTTAGTGGTGTTCTGTGATCTCATCATGAGGTAGGGTGGTGGAACCCAAAAGACATTAGTATGATAGAGGGTTGAAGAGCAAGTGTCTGAGTCCAGCTGCCTGGGTTCAAATCCCAGCTCTTCCTTACTATATGGGATTGCAGGACCCTGTTTTCATCGGTTTTCTTGTCTGCAAAGTAGATTCAACAATGTCTGTTTTATTGGACTGTTATGATGGTTAAAAACGATATAGCGATATACATTGTTAAACACCATTCTTGGCACACACAGTGAGCGATCAGTACATGTTGGGTGCTACTATTATTGTTGTTGCCTCACTTTGTAGATAACTGCAGGCTCAGATCACATGAAACCTAAATGATTACAGCCAAGGAAATCAAGCCCAAAAACTTGTTCAAAGTTACATAGTAAAGCATTAGAAGAACTAGGGTGAGAACCCAGGTTATTTGACATAAGCAAGCACTGGAGTCTATACTTCCTATATCCTGGACATTGATTGGCATCTGGGCACAAAGCTCAGAACCTTTCAAGTGACTGCCAGGAGCCCAGCTGATTGCCAGAGGGGAAAGTATGAGGCAGTGTGGCATAATGGCTAAGAGTGCAGACTTGGAGCCAGATTGCAAAGCTTGGGTGACCTTGGGCAAGTTATTGTACTTTGTGACTTAGTGTTCTCATCTATAAAGTGGGGATGATAATAGTGCTTATTTCATAGACATGTACATGTTCTAAACCCTTTATAACTTGCTTAGAACATCACCAGGCACGTAGTAAGCATCCAGTGAATGTCAGCTGTTACTAATTAGAGACCCATCTTGCTGCTTCTAGACCATTGCTCCCTCTCAGTTTCCCCATGGCCATCCTCTCCCTTCCCGAAGCCTGTGTGTATCACTTGGCTGAATTCCCTAGGGACCCTGTGAAACTGCTTGCTGGCTCATGCCCTATGCACCCTGACAGCAGTGCTTACCCCCACGTGGCCTTAATAACTTCTCTAATCCCTGTCCCACCTCTTGGACTAGGTCCTCTCCTCAGGCTCCCAGGGAGGCAGGGAGAGGATCCAAGAGCTTGTGTGACACTGGAGGAAACTGCAGCTTAAAATGGGTGTGCAGGATGTCCAAGGGAATACAGACAGGGGCAGAACTGGGAATAGAAAACAGATCCCTGGCTCTCAGCCCAGGGCTCTTCCAGCCACCCTGTACCCCAGAAACAGAGTGACAGGACAGAGAAAAAACTGAAAGTACATCACTGAGTTAATTTCTGACACTGAGTGAACTTCTGACCAGTGGCCAAGCTAGAATATGGCCTCAAATTTCAGGCTTAACTGCCTCCCTCTGAAGCTCTTGTCACTCTATCATTCCCAGCTCTCAGGAAAAGCAGTGTTCAGTGAGTACTTTCTTAGATGGAAGCACGTGTCAGTAGGACAGGAACCCAGAAGGACTCTGGGGAACTCTGGTCTAGGTAGAGACAAGGCACCTTTGGATGCCCTTATAACTCCCTAATCAGTTAATTCTTCATGAAAATGAGTGGGCACTCTGCCTGTGCTCACTCTTCAAATCACACAGTACTGCAAGGTCTTCTTCTGGGGCTAATCATGGCCACTTCTTTGGAAATAACCCCTAAGCCCAATGGTGGAGAGAAGGGGTGCAAACTACTTATGAATATCTTTTAAATTAAATGAAGAAGTGTAAATAAATAAAAAGATGTATTAGTTTGAAAGAAAAGTTAGCTAAAACAGACATTTGCATCAGACTTGCGAAGTTGAGGGGCATCATGGAGCTATCCGGGTATTTATTAGTCTCCTCCCTCATCAAGATCCACAATGATTGTGACTTACTTTATCCGTGTCTGTACCGCTTGATGGGGTGCTCCTAAAGGACAGAGATCAAGACTTGTTTACTGTTGTAACTTCAGTGCCCAGCATATACAGGATTCCCTAGGGAAATATGGATGGGTGGGTGGGTGGGTGGATGGATGAGTACATGGATGGATGGATGTGTGGGTGTGGGTGGGTAGGTGGATGGATGGATGGATGGATGGATGATTGGGTGGGTGGGTGGATGAATGAATGGATGAGTGCATGGATGGATGGATGGGTGGGTGAGTGGGTAGATGGGTAGATGATGAGTGGAAGCCTACCTGAAAGAGACATCCTAAGTCAGATTTAGAAGGTCAAGGACATGATTTGGCTCTATTAAGGAAGACTAAGGGAATTATGTGGAGATGAGTAGAGAGAAAAGGAGACAAGGAACCAGAAAAATATATATCCTAAGAAAGAGATAAAAGATCTTGGGTTGGTGTGGCCTGGGGGCTAGTTGAGGGGTGCTCCTTCTTAACCTTCTATTCACCTTCTACCTCCCAGTGGACATGGTACCTGTTTGTTTCCACACAGGGCTTCATCAGACTGGACATGTCTGAGTTCCAGGAGCGACATGAGGTGAGTGGGAGTCCTCAGTGAAGCATGGTTTAGAGGTCCTGTCACCATGACTGCTTTGGTCATATGACTTGTCAGCTGAGCCATTGGGCCTCAGATAATTCCAGCACCCTTGAGATTTGTAGTTGGGGCATCTGTGTGCAGCAGAGTCACTGATCTTTTTTGCATGGGATTTGTTCTGAAGAGTAAACAGATCTATCTGCCCTTCCATCATGGCAGGTTTCCTGCCATACCAGGAGAGAAAAAGTAGAGCATCCTTGTGAGGCAGGCAATCTTTTTTCTTTTTTTTTTTTGAGTTGGGGCTCTCACCCTGTCACCCAGGCTGGAGTGCAGTGGCACGATCACAATTCACTGCAGCCTCAAAATCCTGAACTCCAGCGATCCTACCGCCTCAGCCTCTCGAATAGCTGGGACTACAGATGTGTGCCACCACTCCTGGTTAATTTTTTTTTTTTGTAGAGATAAGATCTTGCTGTGTTGCCTAGACTGGTCTTGAACTCCTGGGCTCAAGCATTCCTTCCGCTTCAGCCTCCCAAAGTGAGACAGGCAATCTTAATAATATACAAAGTCATCTTCTCACACATGCCCCATATTGGAAACTAAATACATGGAAAGACCTTCCTAGCATGTTTTCTTCCTTTACCAGGTGGCCAAGTTTATTGGGTCTCCACCAGGCTATGTTGGCCACGAGGAGGGTGGCCAACTGACCAAGAAGTTGAAGCAGTGCCCCAATGCCGTGGTGCTCTTCGATGAAGTAGACAAGGCCCATCCAGATGTGCTCACCATCATGCTGCAGCTGTTTGATGAGGTGAAAGCCAGCTTGGGCCAGGATGGTGTAGGGGGACATCTGGAGGTGTTGGAGGCTGTGAACAGAAGAAAACTGCAGAGGCTTTCTGGTCATTCCTCAACATGCTGCTCCCCAACATGTACATTCATTCATTCATTTAGCGGGCATGGCTTAGCCCCTCTGCTCCAGGGTCCAGGCGGGACACTCAAGGGAAGACCAACACCACCCAAGAGTTGAAATGTGTGGCAGCCTAGGCTACCTTCTAGAGTGCCATAGGGCAGCAGAGGTGCCCTGAGAGAAAAAGACCTGAATATTTAGTCCAGACCCATATGTGACAAACAGGGAGACCGGGTCAAGAAGCCTTCTGGCACAAACAGCTCTTGTTCCTCCCTGTATCTCATTGTCTCCTCCAGTCCTTTAAAATGCTGATGTTTTTGCCGCTGCTGATGAGCTGATAATACTCCAGCTCATGGAGCCGTTTTCTTCTGAGGAGCTCCAGGCTCTCACAAACTGGACAGTCCTACTAGGAGGAGTAAGCTCTAAATGGGAAGAAGAACTCGCTGTTATTCAGTACATTCTGTGTACTAGACCCATACTGAAAACTTTGCAGACGTTACCGCTTATCGTCACAATAGCCAGACAAGGTAGAAGTAATCTCATTTTTTACAGATAAAGAAACTGAGGTTCAGAGAGGTTCTTAATAACATATAGGCCTCAGAGCTACTATGTATGGAACCAGGACTGGATTGCAGATATATCTGATCCCAGAGTCCCTGTCCTCCCTACCACTCCTTACCTTGAGCCAGGCAAGGGGTTGCTTATGATCATGGGAGATGACCTCGCCTTTTCAGAAGCCCAGCTCTGAAACATGAGGAGCACGAGGAGGAACATGAGGAGCCAAGGAGTCAAAGGAACATGAGGAGCCAAGGGCTGAACTGGGGATGCGGCTTCTCTTCTCCCATGCACAACTTTGTTAAGCCAGCACCTGGCCAGATGGAGTCTGGGCCTTCTTTCTACTTAGCCTCCTCCATCCCTGGAAAAATAGGGAGGTGGTTTGCTTCCCATCACAGGATACTTCCTCCCCACCAGACCAAACAGCACATCAGGTTCCAAGCCAGGAAAACCCAGATGCAAATCTCTACACCAGCTGCCCACTGCCTTCCCCACTTGGCCGGCATCCTTTCCCCTGCCCCGGTTTTGTTGCTGTCTTCATAACCCCACAACTGCTCCCTTCCCCAGGGACTTCCTGAGGAAGATGGGGCCAGTCCTTCAGAGGTCACATATTCGGTTACTCACATGTGTAGCCCGAGGTCTCCCCTCCATTTAGCCTCTTGATAGGATTCAGGTGCACAGTTATGGCCCAGACCCAGACCTGTCCCTGGGAGCTCTGCCTAATACACAGGTCAAAAGGAGACATTTTCACAGCTGGCATTTTGCACTTTGTGTGCCGTTCATTGTTCTGAGAAGTTTACATGTACTAACTCATCTAACCTTCAACAGCCCCTCTGAAAATAGTTATTATTACTACATCCATTTAACAGATATGAAAACTGAAGTAAAGTCAGATTAAGTAATTCACCTGTGATCACAGAGCTGGGGAGGGAGAATATTGGATTCAAACCCACGTAGCCCAGTTCTAGAGCCTGCAGCTTAATGACTGTCATGCAGCTAGGGTCAGTCTGCAGTGGAGTATTCAAAGGGAGAGCCAGCTCTGGGAGGATGGCCTCTGGCATCCCTGGAGAAGTGCTCAGTGGCATCCTTGGCCCAGAAGAGGGAGGGTAATTGCTGACTGAAATACAACTAGCCCCCCTCCCTTCTCCAGTCTACTGCAGTTTCTTCTGCTCTTGGTTCCATTGACCGGAGCCACCATCCATTTACTTGGCCAGATCTCTGCTTGTGTGCTTCCTGAGGACCTCGTCATGTTCCTCCAACTGTCCCCAGAGCCCACAGAGTCAGGGAAGATGCTCTGATGACTAACTTAATTCAACGATAAGTCAGCACTCCTTCAAGAATGAGTTAACTATTAGCTGGGTGAACAGAGTACAGACGGACCAGCAGTAGAAATGTAATATGCAAAGGTGCGGGGGACCTGTACACTCGGGAAACTGCAGCTGGGCAGCATTGTTGACTGCAGAGGGAAGGTGAGAGCAGAGTAGCAGAGATGAGGTGGATAGGGTAGACGGAGCCAGGGACTGGAATGTAGAGTTCTCTGATAGAGAGGAAGCAGCCTTTGAAAGATTTTAAGCAAGACAGAAATATAGTCAGATTTTCACTTTACAAAGATCTTGTGGTCAGCTGTGCAGAGAGTGGACTAGAAGGCAGAAGAGTCACCAAGAAGGAGACTATTAGGGAGCCCAGGCTGAATCTGGGGAGGCCATGGGCTAGAAAACCAGAAGGTTGACCAAAGAGAGAGGGCATCGCCAAGGGTGGCCTGTGCCAGGTTTCTGACCTGGGTGGCCAGGTGGTTGCTGCAGCCATCAGGAATACCATGAGATGAGCCACAGGTGAGGAAGGTGAGGCACTGAGGTTGGAGTTGTTGCAAGTGGGACACCTGAGGGGCAGCCAGGTGGAGATGTTCACGAGGCCGTCCATCAGTTTTATGGGTCTGGAGCTTAGGAAAGGTCTAACTGAAAACAACAGTTCAGGATTCAATCAGCACAGAGAGGGCAGTGGAAGCCACAGGAGCGGAGGAGACTGCTCACCCAGGGAGAGCATAGTGCACAGAGATGAAGAGGGGGCTGCAAACAGAGCCCTGGGACCTGTCAGGGAGAGCCGAGAGGGACTTGCTAGAGAGGTAGGAGGCAACCGGAAGAATGTGGCTTATTTATTTATTCCTGAAGCACTGTGTGGGGCAGAGGGGACCCAGACAAAACAGACGCAGTCACTGCCTCAGTGTTAGGAATGAGTGGGGGAGATGGGGAACCATGAAGCAGTTCAGTTCACTGTGGTGGGTGCTGCACTTGGGCTAAGCAGCAAACATCAGGAGTTGGGAGGGCATCCAATCCAGGCCAGAGGTGTGAGGGAAGTCCTCCATCCCCAGCCAGCTCAGTTCTCCCAGGCCTGGACCCAGAAAAGCAAGAACCCTGTCGCTTTCACCAAAACACCAAGAAGGACTAATACTGGTCACTTCCTGGTGACTCCAGAGCTTATGACTCAGAGCAGAAGTCCCAGGAAGAGACTGGTCCCCAAGAAGCCCAGCCCCTCCTCGCTTCAGGGATTCATACATGAGACAGTGGGAAAGCAGCCCCATGACCCTGGGGTGAGCACTCAAGCCCCAGCCACAATGTACATGCTCTGGTTGTTAGTGGGAGTTGAGACAGGGACAGTCCCTCTTTGGGACACATCTTTATTGAGGAGAAGGAAACATGAGGGTCACCTTTTGGGTCAGTCGTGCACTGCACCTGCTCCCCTCACCCACCTGGGACCCATCCTCAGCCCAGTTATGAGCAGAGTTTGATCTCTTAGAATGAAATTGCTACTGGGTTATTGTTCTGGCCAGCACAGCAGTGTGTGAACTCAGTCCTTGGAGATGAGCTCTGGGAAGTGAGTGTGGAATACACACAGTGTCGGGTGCATATGCTTGGGCACGTCACACACACAGAGACCTGGTCCCTAAAACTAGAATTACCCTCAGCAGATTCTTTCTTGTTCTATTCCATGAGCAGAGGGTGAGTGAAAAGCTGATGGCAAGAACTCAAGGACACCCTCTTGTACCCTTGCTTCCCATTTTCCCACCCCAAGGCAGGGACAGGAGTGACCAGCTCCAGGACCTGGGTTGCCAGGCCTCTTGTGAATAGACTCCTTTGGAACTAACATTTTCTCCGAGGCCTGTGCCAAGGGCTAGTGGAAGGCAAGGCTGGAAAGCATACTAGATGCTCAACTGGTGTGCATTTTTTCTCCTTTGCCCCAAGGGGCAGGACTGGCTTCAGAAGCAAGGGCTGACCCTGAGGCTGGGGCATAGTCCAACATTCTGGCTCAGGCAGGAGCCAACAGGCTGAGGTCAGTTATCCTCATGTTTTCAGCATGTCAGGAGTCACCACAGAGGTGAGGGGGAACTATGCTTTTCTCCCCAAAAGAAATCTCTGGCAGGTCTCTCCCTAGCACCTCTCCCAGTTGCTTCTGTCCAGAAAGGATCAAAGAATGCAAACCAAATTTGGCAGAATTCTGAGAAGACTTTATTGAGCTAAAGAAAATGGCATGAGGTCTCATTGATCCAACACCATTGGTAAGACCTCTGTAGCCTGGTGCAGAGGGAAGGTCATGGGCTCTGAAGTTAGACAGTTCAGGTCTTAGCCCTACTACATTCTAGCTGTGAAACCTGGAATGAGTTACTTAACTTCTCTGAGGGTGATGGTAAGGGTTCAGGCATACAGCAACCAGGTGTCTAGCACCTACTCTGCTATATCCTATTCTAGACCCAGCTTCTGTGCTTGCGAAGCTACTTTCTAGTAGGTGGAGTGAACCAGGGCACAGAGCACATTAAGCAGAGTGCCTATGATGAAAGTAGAAGTTCCCCACCAATGTTCACCACTGTTACTCTGTTACTTTCTCTCCACGAGTCCCTGATCCTTGCTGTTGATCTAAATGGTGTAAAGTGCTGTTGTATGGTGACACCCTTGATACTTGCTGCGTGGGTGGAGCTCTTCCCTTGAGCTAATTGGCCCCAGGACCCTATACTGTTACAGTTCTTCTCTCTCTGCCCTCTGCTGTTTATTCCTTTTCTTTGGTGCTTCTGTCTTCTATACTGTAGATGCCTCCAGTGTCACTTCGGGAAAGAGCTAAAGATTCCAAGGAGACTTCCCTAGGTGGTTAAAGGAGGAAGCTTGTTTTCTGTCCCTCTCTCTCAGGCCAGATGGCTACTCCAAAGATACAGAGATTATACCTGTTTCAACTCATGTTGTCTCATTTACTCAGTAATTATGGCTCTAAACACTTGTACAGCATGCTTTACTAAGGATCTTTGACCAGTGTGACCACATCCAGTCCTCACAGCAGACCCGTGAAGTGCCCCCCTCTAAATTTCTGCAGCACCCTGGGCTTCCCTTTATCATCTGCTTAACATACTGAACTGCCACTGCTTATTTCCTGGATCTCACTGCCTCCCTAGTCTGGGAGTATGGGGAAGGCTTAGTAAGTCCCCATACCTTCCGCCACAGAGCCTGGCCCAGAGAGGGCCTCCAAGAAAATGTGTTGGATGATTGAGATAAATGGATGGCTACTCTTCTGGATGCCAGAGGTAGTTAAGTGCCCTGAGAGATGCCGCAGAGCAGGTGCACCCTCACCTGGAAGTGCTCACAGTAGGTGGATCAGTTGCAGCCCAAGGCATTGAGCACTACAGCCTGGGTGTGAGTCCAGCACTCAGAGAACCCAGAGGAGGGAGCAGCTGACTGCCAGTGCTGGGGGAGGCACATGGGGTTCTGGGGAGGCCTCCTGGAGGAGGTGAGAAGTGAGAGTGCTAAAGTCTGCCCTGGCTCACAACTCCCTGACTGAACAGTCCCTTCTCTTCCCTTCGCAGGGCCGGCTGACAGATGGAAAAGGGAAGACCATTGATTGCAAGGATGCCATCTTCATCATGACCTCCAACGTGGCCAGTGATGAGATTGCACAGCACGCACTGCAGCTGAGGCAGGAGGCTTTGGAGATGAGCCGTAACCGTATCGCTGAAAACCTTGGTATAGCAGCTGTTTTGAGCTGTCTGGACCAGTGACTAACCTGTCTCCTGGGGGCAAGGATGGGATTGGGGTCCTGGGCCTAGCTGAGGGTCCTAGTAGGCAGCTTTGTCCCTCACTGACACTGAGCAGACACTAGACACCGTACCAGGTAGTAAAGGGGGGCGGACAGAAGAGACAGTGCCCCCACTTTCTCACAAAAGCCCCAACTCTATTGGGTGACAGGAGGGCTCCAGGCAGGAATGAACAGAGATACACCAGGGTGAGGGACCGGGAGATGGCCTGGGTCTCAAGGGTCTAAAGAAACACACACTCAATAGGGAGCGAGGCGTTGGTGCAGTGGAGGACAGAAGGTGGAAATTGGTAAGGCAGTGGACACAGCCTTTTTCACCCAGGGCCTCTTTCCACATAGGCAGGCCCTGGAGAGTGCTGAAAAGGAGGAACACATTGGCCAGAGGCTGTGTCTGTCACCTTTCTCTTCAGGACTGAGCTCTGCATCCCCTTCCTCCAAGTCAGAACTCTCAAGTCTTGAACCTAACTCTTCTCCTCTCCTCTCCCTCCCTCACACGACTCCCACCCCAAGGAATCCCAGACTTTAAAGCCCACAAGAGCTGAAAGGGCTTTGCAAAGTACCTCGTCAGAGGAGGAGACCAGGCTGAGACCCAGAAAGCCTCAAACCTTGACCAGGATCACACAGACAGGCAGGACAAGGGCTCTTTTCATGGTGGGGCCAAGGGACAGGCACAGCCCCCAAGCTCCCTCAGTGTGGGGAGTAAGCAGTTTATGATTATCTCCACAGGAGATGTCCAGATTAGTGACAAGATCACCATCTCCAAGAACTTCAAGGAGAATGTGATTCGCCCCATCCTAAAAGTAAGAGGTGTTTCTTGGCACTTCCTGGTAGAGTCCAAGGTTGGGAGGAGGGGTCTTAGCCATCCTGGTGATATGAAAGCCCTGTCTTCCACAACAGAGTCCAGTAATTCCCCTAACCCCCTCTGGATCACAGAGCTCAACCCACCCCTAACCTGGCCCTGCAGGCTCACTTCCGGAGGGACGAGTTTCTGGGACGGATCAATGAAATTGTCTACTTCCTCCCCTTCTGCCACTCGGAGCTCATCCAACTCGTCAACAAGGAACTAAACTTCTGGGCCAAGAGAGTAAGAGGGTACCGCCCGTAGGTGGGGGTGGGACATCTGACCACAGGAAGTCTGGAACACTAGACTGGGAGCACACCCCTCTCCTAAAAGGTGGAGCACAGTGGTGTGGGACCAGTAGCCCTGGGAGACTCTCAGGCCAGAATGGCAAAAAGATGGAAAGCACTGGGCCACATGCGGGTACACTTCTGTCTAACCCATCTCAGGCCAAGCAAAGGCACAACATCACACTGCTCTGGGACCGAGAGGTGGCAGATGTGTTGGTCGATGGCTATAATGTGCACTATGGCGCCCGCTCCATCAAGCATGAGGTAAGCACAAGAGCCTGAGAAGTGAGGTACCGCCACACCTCCCCACAACTCCCCACAGACCTAATCCCTGGGCTCCCAGCCTGTCTCCCTATAGGTTGGCTGCTGGAATTGTTCGCACCCAGAGCAGATGCCTCTTCAGAACCATAAACACAAAACGATCAAGTAAAACCCCTGTCTGGAGGGTGGCCAAGTGTGAACCCTACCAGAAGTGGGGACCTGGACTAGGAGCCCCGAAACTGATTCACTGAACTTTTAGCATAGTTCTACAAGCTAGGTGTCATTAGCCCCACTTTGCAAATGAGAACACTGAGGCTCAGAAAGGTATCTGACCTGTTCTAGCAGTAAGTGATAGAAGCTGGCCTCCAGGCTCAAGCCACAGGCTGAGCACAGGCTGAGGCAGTGATGACCTCTTCACCTACAACCTGCAGGTAGAACGCCGTGTGGTGAACCAGCTGGCGGCAGCTTACGAACAGGACCTGCTGCCAGGGGGCTGTACTCTGCGCATCACTGTGGAAGACTCAGACAAGCAACTGCTCAAAAGCCCAGAACTGCCCTCACCCCAGGCTGAGAAGCGTCTACCCAAGCTGCGACTAGAGATCATCGATAAGGACAGCAAGACCCACAGGCTGGACATCCAGGCACCACTACACCCTGAGAAGGTGTGCTATACCATCTAGCATCTAGCAGCCTGCCTACGTGTGCCCTCACATCTAATAAAGGCCCCTTGGCTGTGGCATGGCAACTGACCTATCTTCCCCTCGTGCCTCTCCCTCCTCGCTACACAGCCTAAGGCCTGCTCGCCTCCTCACAGCCCCTGGAAGACCCTCAGCCCCAAAGCCTGAAGCAGGGGTTTTGCCCTACCCTGGCCCCTCGGTTGTGGGCCCATAATCTGCTAACAAGCCTCCAGGAGAGGAGCTTCCTGTGCACCCCCTTCAAGGCAAGGGGGAGGGAGGTTCCTTGTCTGTGTCCTTCAGAATGATCCCCAAGCCCCATAGTCCCTGGAACTTTATCATGTCCCCAGGAAGTTCAGGAGTGTGGCAGCTAAGAACAGATATGGCTGAAAGAAGATGAGGACCAAGCTGTACCTGCCACCCTCTGCCAGCCTGCATGCCACTCAGTCCCCAGAATGTCACTGGGAGCAGAGAAAGAGGGCAGAGGCCCAGGCACATGGATGATTCTGCAGTTTAATCTATACCGCCTCATGTCCTAAAATTCTAAGAGGAAGGGACCCATAGAAGCTTTCCTCTTCCCACTGCTGTATTATGCCCACTGTTCTTCACCCCATGTTCTGGGGTCAGACCAAACCATGTTTCTCCAGCCTTGGGAACTAGGTCAGGTTAGGACACCTCTAGGAGGGGGCCTGACTTGTTCATTACTCTACCCTATTCCAGGACCCTACTCTGGGACAGAACAGCAGTCCCAGATGACCAAGCACGCTCAGCTCTGTGGGGACTTCCTTCAGGAGACCAACAGTGTAGACATTGGGAAGCTGTAGGGGGAGAGATCATGGGACAGGGCTCTACCCAAGTAGCCATGGAGTCTGCCTCAGCCTTGTCTGTACTGCTGTTCTAGCTTTATTAGCCTGGAATATACATGCAGTTTATTCAGTCTACATATTAGTCCCTAAGCAGAAGTCTAGACACCATACCTCAAAGGCAGACCAGCTGTGTTTCAACCGCAGCCAAGCAAGGCACGACAAGGCCCAGTGCGTTCGTGGGCACCACCTGCAGTAGCCACCACTGATAACTACTCCATCCACCTTCCTCCTGCTGGGCCTTCATGCAACCCTCCTGTGGTGTTAGCTAGTCTCTTTCAGGAAGCAGAGAATGGAGGCAGGAATCAAAGTCCCTTTGGTAATGGAAGAATGTCCTAACAATATAGTGGGTGCAATCAGAGTCAGGGCATGGGCTCTAGCAGATGCTCCCACAATCACTGTCTAGTCCCTCAGGAGTTGTGTCTGCTATTCCCTACCTCAGTGACTGCTGTTCTTTTTGTTGTTTTTCACTTTTTGTTTTTAAATAGTTTTTACTTACAGAAAGTTGTATAAATAGAGAATTTCCATGTACTCTTCACTCAGCTTCTCCCAATATTGGTATCTTACAAAACCATACTGTAGTTGTCAGAACTAGGAAGTTAACATTGATAAAATACTGTTAACTAATCTGTGGATGTTGAAATTTTGCCATTTTTTCCCCTGATGTTTTTACTGGTCCAGAATCCAATCCAGGATCCTGCATTGATTCTGTTGTGTTACCTTTATCTCTGTCAGCCTGTGGCAGTTTCTCCATCTTTTTTTGTCTTTCATGACCTTGACACTTTTGAGGAGTCCAGTCCAGTTATTTTGTAGAGTATACCTCAATTTGAGCTTGTCTAGTGTTTTCATATGATTGGACTGAGAGTCTGCATTCTTGGCAAGACCACCACAGAAGTGATTTGTAACCTTCTTAGTGCCTCCTAGCAAGGGGTGGTGTGAGCTTTGATCACATGGCTAAGGTCGTGGGTTTTGCCACTGTAAGATTATGAGTTTTTCCTTGAAATGAATAAGAATCTTCTAGGGAGATTCTTTGAAACTGTGTAAATGTCTTATTTATCCTTGTAATTTTGTCTACTGATTTTAGCTTCCATCATCATCTGTTCTTGCTTATAACAGGATTAATGTTTTATTTGCTTAATGATTACTTCTATTTCCTTTTTCCATGTATATATGTATTAATTGATACTATACTGTAAAGAAGACCTGTCCTCCCCCCCCCATTTACTTGATAATTTCAGTATGAACTAATGAATATCTGTTTTAGTCTGTGAGTTATAAACTAATACTAACGTAGGGGGGTTTGGGGTTTTTTTGTTTTTTGTTTTTTTTCTCAAATTGACCCAGATTTGGCCATTGGGAACTTTTTCAGGTTGGCTCCCATTGCCAACATTGCCAACAACGTTGGCTTTAACATTGCCCCCATCATTTTTTAATCACTTTCTGGCACTACAAGATATTCCAGGCTTACTCACATTTTCCCTCTCCCAGCCATTTCTCCAAGAAGCTCCTGGTTCCTTTCATTCCAGGAGAAAAGAACTTGGAAAGCAAATGGTTTCCTGGTATTTGGAAATCAAATTGTGGGCACCAGGTATACTCACTGATACAGGAGTGTCATTGCTCCTAGACCATCTCAGCAGACAGCTAAGAAATGTGTATGTGTATCTGTGTGTCCGCACATGCAAATACACATACCTGAATATATTATTGTGTCTATCCATCTATGTCTACTATTAAAAAACATGAGTTCATATTGATAGCAACACTTCCGGTTTAATACCATAGTTTGTGACTGCCAGTCTTACTGTTCTTTTTCAGCTTTTTTCTCACCTAACTCTGTGTCTTCTCCTTTTTCTCTGTTTGATGTTCAGGCTTTCCTTACAGGCTCTAATTAAGTCAACCAGTGACCATCCTGTATGCAATATTCCTGTTAGATAAAAAGTTCTTCTGCATGGCTGTCAGTCATATTGGGTCAATTAACTGTGGCCAGGAACAACGTGAATATAACTCAAAACCAGATAACATTTATACAAGAAAACCCAATGGCCACCTTCCTGATGGTAGGGAAGGGGACAGCATAGAACCTCAGATTCCTAGGAACTTAGTAAAGTATCACTTCTGTTCCAGAGGTTCTTTGCCAGACTTGGACCCATATCTTAGACTTTCATAGCAACCTGAGCAGTGCTCAGCTCACTTGCCTTACTTGTTCTGTCTTCATCACTAGAATGTAAGCTCCAAAAGGCAGATACCCAGCTGTTCAGTTCACTGTGTTCTACTCATTGAACCTGGCACAGTGCTATATTGACACATGCTCCAGGAAGGATGGGTATGTGAGACCACAGCAAGCACAGATCTTCACAGTGGGCCCTGGAACAGAATAGTATCATTCATTTGCTCAGCATACTTTTATTTGTCATGTTCTTACGGCCAGGCAGTTGGACCCACCAGGATTGGAGATCGGAGAAAATGGAGCAAGGTGAGACCCCAATACCTTATTGAGGAGCCTAGAAAACATGAGGCTGGACTTTGAAATGACAGTGTAACATCTTTATTGTTCAAAAGGAAAATCTCAAAGGTGTACAGTGATTTAGAAATTTAGGAAGGATCCTCATTAGTACAGCAAAAGAAAAAAACAAAAATTTACTGCCAGGCTCGGTGGCTCAGCCTGTAATCCCACGCCGTTGGGAGGCTGAGGTGAGTAGATTGCCTGAGCCCGCGGGTTCGAGACCCGCCTGGGCAACTTGGCGAGACCTCATCTGTACAATAAATCAAAAAATCAGCTGGGCATGATAGCGCACACCTGTAATTCCGGCTACTCGGAAGGCTGAGGCGGAAGGATCACCAGAGCCCAGCAGGTCGAGGCTGCGGGGGCTGGGAGTGGCCACTGCACTCCAGTCTGGGCGACAGAGTGAGACTCCAACTCAAACAAAAAAAAAAATTTAGGGAAGAAACAGATTTAAACCATAAGAAAATAGAAAATGGACCAATAAAGTTAACAAGGTAGAAAAAAAAGAAAAAGGAAAGTTAAAAAAACTCCTTTGCTGGGCATGGTGGCTCCCGCCTGTAATCCCAGCACTTTGGGAGACTGAGTTGAGAGGATTGCCTGAGCCCAGGGGTTCAAGACCAACCTGGGCAACTTGCCGAGACCTCATGTCTACAATAAATCAAAAATTAGCCAGGCATGGTAGCATACACTTGTGGTTCCACCTACTTTGGAGGATGAACTGGAAGGATCACCTGAGTACAGTAAGTTGAGCCTGCAGTAGCTGTGAGCATGCCACTGCACTCCAGCCTGGGTGACAGAGTAAGATTCTGACTCAAAAAAAAAATTATTTGAAAGCACAAATAAAACAGATAAGGTCTCCTGAGCTAAAAGAGAAAGATTAAGAATGAGAAATTAGAACCATGTATATGGAAGAATTGAGAATAATTTTAGGAAAACTCTTTGGTAACAAATTTGAAAACAGACTAAATGGATAATTTCCTAGCAGACACCCAAAATAGTCTGAATAGGCCAATTGATTACCAAAAAAGAACTTGAGAAGGTGATTAAAATTTTACCCTTGTAAAAGATTGTATTCTTGTGATTAAACTTTTTAGTTGAAATATAATATCATATATATGATATATATGGAAGGCCAAACATGGTGGCTCAAGTCTGTAATCCCAGAACTTTGGGAGGCTGAGGCAAGAGGATTGCTTGAGACCAGGAGTTTAAGATCATCCTGGGCAACATAGCAAGATGACGTCTGTACCAAAAACCAAGTATATATATGTGTTTTATATGTATATAATATATAATATGTATATAATGTATAATTATAAATTTGTATATATAAGATTAGCTGAGAGTGGTGGTGTGTACCTATAGTCCCAGCTACTTGAGAAACAGAGGCAGGAGGATCACTTGAGCCCAGGCGTTGGAGGTTACAGTGAGCTACGATAATATCACTGCACTCCAGCCTGGGGGACAGAGTAAGATCTTGTCTAAAAAAAAAAAAAAAAAAAACCATATATATATATGTTTATATATATATATAATTGTAGACATATATATGTCTACAATTCACAAATGTGCAGCTCAATGAATTATTACAAACTGAACACTCCTGTAGCCATCAATCAGTCCCAAAAATAGATGAGTTTTAATTTTTAACTAGTATGTAAACTGCTGTGTACTCAAAGCTGATAAAGTGCCAAAAAGAATGTCTTAGCCTAATCTCGCCTATGCTTATAGATGCCCAAATTCCAAATAAAATCAAGTTGAATTGTACACCATGATCACATACAGTTTATTTCAGCAATACAAAGTTCAGCATCAGGAAATGTATTAATATACTACATCAATAACAAATATTATTTAAATGTCTATAGAGTGATAGTAATGTTAATTTTCTTGTTTTGATAATTATGATTATGGGAGAGAATGTTTTTGTGTTTAGAAAATATGTTTTTTGTTGTTGTTTTGAGTTGGGGTCTCACTTCGTTGCCCAGGCTGGAATGCAATGACACAATCACAGGTCACTGCAACCTTGACCTCCTGGGCTCAGGCGATCCTTCTGCCTCAGCCTCCTGAGTAGTTGGCACCACAGGTGCATGCCACCACACCCAGGTAATTTTTTGATTTTTTTTGTAGAGATGAGGTCTTGCTATGTTACCCAAACTATCTCGAATTCCTAACAATCCTCCTGCTTCAGCCTCCCAAAGTGCTGGGATTGTAGGTGTGAGCCACCACAGTTGGCCTAGAAAATGTAAGTGTTTAGAGGTTAAAGGTAAGGACAGTTTGCTAATATTTCAGGAAATATTAAATTCTATGCATATGTGTACACACACATACATACATGTATACACAGAATGATAAAGCAAAAGTAAAGTGTTAACATTCAGAAAGTCTGAGGGAAGGATTTACAAAAATTCTTTGTACTGATTTTGGAACTTTCTGAATGTCTAAAATGATTTCAAAATAATTTTTTTTTTTTTTTTGAGTTGGAGTCTCACTCGGTCACCCAGACTGGAGTGCAGTGGCCGCTCCCGGCCACCGCAGCCTCGACCTGCTGGACTCCGGCGATCCTTCCGCGTCAGCCTTCCGAGTAGCCGGAATTACAGGCAGGCGCTACCACGCCCGGCTGATTTTTTGATTTTATTGTAGAGATGAAGTCTCGCTGCCCAGGCGGGTCTCAAACCCGCGGGCTCAGGCAATCCACTCACCTCAGCCTCCCAAAGGTGTGGGATTACAGGCTGAGCCACCGAGCCCAGCTCAAAATAAATTTTTTAGTGAAAGGAGGTAAAACATGATCATATCAGTATGTGCTGAAAAAGTATTTGACAGAACTTTTCAACTTTATAATTTGACAAAATTAAAGCTCTAAGGAAATTATTTAAACATGATAGATCATCAAAAATCAATAATAATCCAGGCTCGGTGGCTCAGCCTGTAATCCCGCGCCTTTGGGAGGCTGAGGTAAGTGGACTGCCTGAGCCCACGGGTTTGATACCCGCCTGGGCAGGCGAGACCTCATCTCTACAATAAAATCAAAAAATTAGCTGGGTGTGGTAGCACACGCCTGTAATTCTGGCTACTCGGAGGGTTGAGGCGGAAGGATCGCGGGAGCCCAGTGGGTCGAGGCTGCGGTGGCCAGGAGCGGCCACTGCACTCCAGTCTGGGCGACAGTGAGACTCCAATGCAAAAAAAAATCAATAATAAACATTTTTAATTATAACTACTAAAGCTACTAAAGTCTGAAATAAGACAATTCAACATTACTTTTAAGATTTAAGTGAAAGCAATTAGAGGAGAAAACAATCACTGTAACTATTGGAAAATAATAAATTATTTTACTGAAATATGTGTATTTAGAAAATCCAAAAAGATGTAGTAAAAACCTCTTTCAGCTGTAAGAAAATTTGATAAGTAGTTGAATAAAAGATAAATGTAAAAAAAAGCCGGGCTCGGTGACTCAGCCTGTAATCCACGCCTTTGGGAGGCCGAGGTGAGTGGATTGCCTGAGCCCGCGGGTTTGAGACCCGCCTGGGCAGGCTAGACCTCATCTCTACAATAAATCAAAAAATTAGCCGAGCGTGGTGGCGCGTGCCTGTAATTCCGGCTACGCGGAAGGATCACGGGAGCCCAGTGGGTCGAGGCTGCGGTGGCCGGGAGTGGACACTGCACTCCAGTCTGGGCAACAGAGTGAGACTCCAACTCAAAAAACAAAACAAAACAAAACCCCACTTTTCTCTATTCCAGCAATAATCAAC